CAAACATTTGCTCTGCGTCTTCACCATCAGAATAATTCATAACATCTTTGGGTGATGGTGGCACAAAATAAACCGGCAATAACATGGGATTATACAACAGTGTTAATTTTGACTGCTAGTTTTGGAGATCTCACCCCTCCTCATGGCATTATCATAATCAATCTTAATAAAGCTGCACTTATCAACTGATTCAGAAAGCTAACACTTTTGGGATCCCTTAAAATTGCTAACATTTCCTCTTAAATTCAAACCCTAAGACGAAGATGATAGAATATGGATATAATCAAAACCCTAATTAGGGTTTCCTATGTAGACGGTTAGGGTTGTTACACTATTGTACTATAAATACCACAATGTATCATGTGAAAACACAGACAATAATACTTTCATGGTATCATCCTTCTTTCCTGGCCTCTCAATTTTTTTTTAGGGTTTCCGCTGAACCGCCGCCGCTCTAAATCCCAAAATCCAACTATTATTCTTTAGGTCACCACCGGCGTCTCTCTTTTTTCTTCTTGCCACCGGCTTTGTCTTGCCGCTGCGTTCGATCCTTCTCGGACCCCCCTACTTCTTCTTCCCTCTTCGCGGTCGAAACAAAACACAGAAGCTTTAATCAATTACAATCTTTCTTCATACCCGACACAGCCACCAATTACACCTCTTCCCTCTTCGCGGTCGAAACAAAACACAGAAGCTTTAATCAATTACAATCTTTCTTCACCTCCCTTTTTGCAGCCAACTCACACACACACACACAACCCTTCATCCTCATCATCCTCATCATTAGTTGGCCGCCGCTGTTAAACCTCTCTTCGTCCACCTTTTTTTTTCGGATTCTTTCAAGTTCAAAAAAAAAAAACCCTAAACCCATCTCTTCGGTGTTCTTTTTCGGTTTTGCCTCCCTGCCGCCATGACAAACTCTGCCGTTGCCTCTACTGTCTCACAACCAACTGATCTTCAATCAACCGAGGCTATACAACCAATTCATTTCCAACACCACCTTCTCATCCGGCTATTGGTCTCTCTAACATCAAGAATTATGTGACTCCCGTTCTGGATTTCACAAACTACATGCTATGGAAAGAGCTTTTTCTTCCTGTCTTTCGCGGCCATGCCGTGATTGGTCATATCAATGGCTCCGATCCTTGTCCTCCATCAACTCTCGCTACCTCTGATGGCACTTCCTCATCCACTCCAAATCTTGCTTTTCGAACTTGGACCCAAATTGACTCCATTGTCCTCTCCTGGATCCAAGCCACTGTTTCCACTGAAATTTGGCAAGCCATAGTTCGGCCCAATTCTTCCCTTACCATGTTCCTTCGCTTACAAATAATCTAATCTCTGTGCGTCAAATTTCCACTGAAAATCAATGCTCTGTTGAGTTTGACCCTTTTGGTTTTTCTGTGGAGGACCTTTGGACGAGGACCCCTCGTCTACGTTGCAATAGTACTGGTTCCCTTTATACATTTCCGCCCTCACTGCTCCATCCTCCCTTGCACCGTCTTCTCAGTCTTGTCCGGTGTTTGCTGCTTCTGTCTCTTCTCAATTATGGCATCAACGCCTTGGTCACCCGAATGCCTCTGTTTTGTCCAGTTTAGTGTCCAGTCGAAGTCTTCTGGGGTTCCGTGATCTCTTCAAATAAACTTAGTCTCTGTCAGGCTTGTCAAATTGGGAAGCATCATAAGCTCCCTTTTATGCCTTCTTCTTCGGTTACTTTTAATGCTTTTGATATTATACATACAGATGTTTGGACCTCTTCGTGTCATTCCTTTAGTGGCTTCAAGTATTTTGTACTCTTTCTTGATGATTTCACTCATTATTTATAGGTGTATCCTCTTAAAAATAAATCCGAGGTTCCTCAAAAGTTTGTTGACTTTTATACTCTTGTTCAAACTCAATTCAATGCTTCCATCAAAACTCTTCAATCTGACGGTGCAGCTGAATATGTTCATTCTCATTATCTTCAATCTTTTCTTAAATCTAAGGGGATCACAATGCGTATCTCTTGTCCGTACACTCTTCAACAAAACGGCGAGGCTGAGCGCATGAATAAAACACTAATCAATATGATCCGGACTCTTCTGCATCAAGCTCACTTACCACATGCATTCTGGGTAGAGGCTTTACATACTAGTGTCTATCTGTTAAATCGTTTACCTACTAAATCAAAAAATGGGGCTATACCTTTCTCCTTTCTTTTTGGTCATCTCCCTAACTATGGTTCCTTAAGGGTTTTTGGGTGTTCCTATTTTCCCAATCTTTCTCATTTAGCTTCTCATAAGCTCCATCCTCGCTCCGCTCCATGTGTCTTTCTTGGTTATCCTGAATCTTATAAGGGCTATCGTTGTTTTGATCCCGCTTCTAAAAAAGTCTATACTTCCCGTCATGTTGTTTTTGATGTAACCTCTTTTCCATTTCCTCAACTCTCTTCGGTTCCCCAAAACAATCCTCCCCAATCTCATTTTAAATATCCCTCGTTCCTTATTTCACGATCCCTCCCTTCATCAAAATCCTCTCCATTGGTTGCTTCTCCTTCACAAAAACATGTGTCATCCGTTCCTTTAGAATCTGCACCCACATCTTCCATTTCCTTGTCACATACTTCGGATCCTCCTATTTCGAATCCCCCTATTCATCATATGGTCACAAGAACTCGTGATGGTATTCGTAAACCTAAACATATACTCTCTCTTACTGCCACTACTACATCCTCTTCACTCCCTACTGAACCAAAATCCTTTACTGAAGCAAATAAATACCCTGAATGGCATGCAGCTATGATTGACGAATTTAATCCTCTCCTCACTAATCATACATGGGATTTAGTCCCTCCCCCTGTTTCTGCCAATATTATCGGCTCCAAATGGATTTTTCGAGTCAAGTTAAAATCTGATGGCTCTCTTGATCGATGTAAGGCACGTTTGGTCGTTCAAGGCTACAATCAACACCTGGACTTGATTATGACCAAACGTTTAGTCCGGTGGTTAAACCTGTGACACTTCGAACTGTCTTAAGTATTGCTGCTTCTTGAAAATGGCCCGTTCATCAGTTGGACGTTAAAAATGCGTTTTTGCATGGTCATCTTAATGAAATTGTCTATATTAAACAGCCTACTGGTTTTGTTCATCCAGACCATCCTCACTATGTCTGTCGGTTGAAAAAAGCTCTTTATGGCTTAAAGCAAGCTCCCAGAGCTTGGTTTCATCGTTTCACTGCTTTTCTGCTTACACAGGGTTTTAAAGGCAGTCGCTCGGACACTTCCATGTTTGTGTATTCTTCTGGATCGGATATGGCTGTTTTGTTACTTTATGTTGATGACATTCTCTTGACAGCTTCTAGCAATCATCTCCTCACTACTATTATTCACTCGCTGAAAGGAGCTTTCGCAATGACGGATCTTGGTCCAATCAGCTATTTCCTTGGTATTTCTGTTGCTCCTCACTCTGGTGGTTGGTTTTTACACCAACGCAAGTATGCTGAGAAGTTGCTTGCTCGCAGTCATCTCACCGATGCCAATCCAGTTGCAACTCCACTTGCTCCGGCTTTTCAATTTTCGGTTGATGAGTCTCCGCCTTTTCACAATCTGACTCTCTATCGGAGCTTGATGGGTGCATTACAGTATCTTACTTTCACCAGACCGGATATTCAGTATGCGGTTAATCTTGTCTGTCAACATATGCATGATCCTCGAGCAGCACTTTCAGGCGGTCAAACGCATTCTCCGTTACATTAAGTGCACACTTCACTATGGTACACATCTCCGTGCTGGCCCCCTTGATCGCCTTGTTACATATTCCGATGCTGATTGGGCTGGTTGCCCTACTACTCGCCGCTCTACGACTGGTTTTTGTGTTTTTCTGGGTTCCTCACTAGTTTCCTGGTCCTCCAAGAAACAATCCACTGTGTCTCGATCTTCTGCTGAGTCTGAGTATCGTGCTGTTGCCTCTGCGTTGGCTGAATCCGTCTGGTTGAAGAATCTTCTGTCTGAGCTTCATGTCAAGCTCTCACATCGCCCGGTCATCTTGTGTGATAATGTTTCTGCTACATACCTAGCTGCAAATCCGGTTAATCATGCTCGCACCAAACATATTGGTCTAGACATTCATTTTGTTCGTGAACGTGTTGCTGCTGGTCTTCTTCGGGTACTTCATATTTCCTCACAATCCCAGCTTGCAGATGCATTTACCGAATCATTATCTAAGGATAAATTGTATTCGTTTAGAACCAATATAGACATGATTACTTCTCCTGCTACGATTGCGGGGGATGATAGAATATGAAAATAATCGAAACCCTAATTAGGGTTTCCTATGTAGACGGTTAGGGTTGTTACACTATTGTACTATAAATACCACAATGTATCATGTGAATAACACACACAATAATTCTTTCAGAAGAAGACCTTGAAATGCAACTGAGGAAGTGAAAATGTTTTGAGAAATATCTTGTTCGACAGTAGCTGCCAAATGGATTTTTGTTTATCGATAATATAGGTGTTAGTTTGTTGTACACTTATACTTGTCGGGGCAATGACAACCATGGATTTCAAAGATTGACTACTACTTGGTCTACTACCCAAAACGGGTCATGGACTTGATAAATTAATTAATGACAAGTGTTTTTGTCTTTTGTCACATGACTCCCTTAGTTTTTGACCATCATGGGCGGTGGTATACTTCCGGACCCTGTTAATTTTTGACCATCAAGTGTTTTTGTCTTTGATTTGCGCATTTTGACTGCAGTTTGATTTCTAATTTACTTTTGGGTGGGTGAGATTTCTGTTTTACTGATTGCAAATTAGACTGATGTCAGTTTTTGGCTGTGTTTGGGGTAATCCATCTATCCAAGGCTCAATTGGAGGTTTTTGGACAAACATGAAAAGCGTAACAGGAATTGGAAGTTAAAATGAGACACACATATGCATTTGTTTCACTATTCATACTGTTATTACTTGTCAAATGTCATCACAACTTTGCCAAGATGGAATTTTGGAGCACAAAATGAGTTTGAACTATTCAGATTCGGAATGCTTTTCAAACGATCATCATAATCAACTAGACAACCCTCTTGTTTGCAAGATGCCTCAATTCGTCGTCAACCCTTTTCAAGATGCTTCAGTTTTTCAAGATGCTTCAGTGTTCTGTGAAGTACTGCATCAAATTGCATACTGCATCAAGCATCAAATTGCATCATCTGCCAGATGGAGGTTCTTCGTGGATGGAGGAAAATCCAACGGTGACATCGTTCAACCTGTCTTACGAACCTCAAAGGGGCGTTGTTGGATAGCTGCCGATTCCAGGTTCGCACCTTGTATCTTATATCTAAGTTGTATTACCAAATCCAGATCAAGTAATTGTAGGGGAAAGGCTTTTCATCTCAAGCCAATCAACTATTTCTTGTGCTTCATCATCCACATCTCCTCTAGTTATCACTGCCGTTTTAATGGAGATACCACAATTATGAACGTCAATGCAATCTTCCAAGCAATCGCTACCACATTAATCAACCCAGGAAAACCTGAACTTCTGACTAATTTGGAAAGCTCCCGAATTGACTAATAAAATGGGGAAAAAGAAAAATACAAGAATCTCAAACTTAAGGGATACGTAAAATTTGTGAAAAACACCAGAGAATGCCGTATTACGGATCAACTCATGTCTACAGTCAGAGAGCTATTTGGCTTCACTCAGAAGCAGCCGAAAAGGCGAAAATATTGTAGAACTGTTGGGAGGCGGAGGCTGCCGAATGGGGTTATATACACGTCAATAGGGCAAGAAGGATTACAATGGGCCTAACAGATTAATTACTTGATCTTCATTTCAAATCGGGTCTTGGGCTATGAAAGTGATATGGTCTAATAAAATGTACTTTCTCCGTCCCGAGTAGAATACCTGATCAAAGCAAAAAGGTCTCCATTATCATTGGTTTTCATACATCATCTTTCGACAGAAAGGAAATCAAACTTAAAATTCTGATGTTATTCTGGGGACTAATAGCAACATATGGTCCATTGCATTCTGCATATCATCTTTTGTTGCATTTTGCATCCGCCCTATTGAGATGTCTCTCCAATGATAATATTTTGGTCTTTTTTTTTTTTTTTACTATTTTGATCCCAGCTCACTATTTCAACTTTATAGTTGTCCTTGAAAAGTCATCGATCTCCTAAGCTACTAGATGGTTTTTTTTATAATGATAATTTCGTTCATTCCGCCAAATCTAAATTGTCTCTCCAGGAAAAGTGAAACCAATCTTATTTGTCTCAATTCCAACAATTGAGAGAAGTTTGGGAGGAAAAAAAAACGTAAACTGTATGACTATTAGAACTAGAAGAGAAAAGAAACGTTATTATACACACGAGTCTTTGGATTGACAAAATTTGTTGAAAGCTAAAAAAATGAGCAGTTTGTTAAATTGAGTGAATTCACGGAAGGAGGGCGAGACATGCTGTGATCTAGGGCCAATTGTGCAGCTTAGATTTTTGACCAATTTAGGCCTTGTTTGATAAACCAATTCAATACTTAAACTTATTAATTAAGTACTTAATTGATTAGCACTGTTTGATAACACACTATCATAACAACTTAATTGCTTAAGAACTTAATTTATTAAGGACTTAAATTTTAAGTGTGTTTGATAACTCAAAGTAGGATGTATTAATAAATTAAGTGAGTCTGAAATACTAGTACAAATGTGAGCCTAAAAATAAGTGATAGACCTATCACTTATGTCTGAACTGAATTCTTGAGACGATTTTTTTTCTATTTATTTATTTTTATGTTTCTAGTTTTGATATTTTATCTTGAAATATTTTTATTAACCATGATGTCTAGTTCTAAATTAAAATTTATGTAAATTATTTTTTATTTAATAAATATTTATTTTTATATAAAAATTAAAATCCATTAAATTCCATGATCAATATATCTTTACCATAAAAGATGAATTTTTTTTTGACAATGATAAAATATGACATTATTATTAACTGAAAAAATAATAACATAATAAAATTTAAATATTTTTATTACATTATTTAGTACTAATATTATTATTTTTGTTATCATAGTTTCATATACATCAATTATTTTTTAGATCAAATTATAAATCGAGATACTTTAAATTTCAGTGTTCAGACTTCAGATTTCAGACATTTTATTCAGTGTTTAGATTTTGGTTTTTATCAAACACGACAAACTTAATCGATTCAGTACTTATGATTCAGTTTTCATATTTCAGACTTCAGACCCAAATTAAGTTTTATCAAACGGGCCCTTAATTTAGTCCAGAAGTTTAGAATTTCGCCATGCGGTCAAAGAAAACATCAAATGTCTTTTTTTTTTTTTAAGATGAAAACATCAAATGTCACTACCAATGGATGAACTAACTGTAAGAATATATATTTAGAAGAGAAAAAAGCAAATACATTTCTTGTTGCCCTGCTCATTGAATTCTTGTTGCCTGTTGAATGAACAGTCCAGAGTTTTTTTTTGTATACTCAACGAAACTTTCAACATCTATTATTCCTCCAGCACTCTCTATTATTATGAATGTCCTCGTTTCTTCGGCATATTTGTCACGTGTGTGGAATCTTTATTGCAACATATTCTACTTCTGAAATTGGAAATATACTTTCAAATCATTGAACTCACCCGGAAGCAAACTTTTTTGCTCATTTGGAATCCGTACTACAAATTTTCTTGCGGATGTGTTGTGTAAGTTGTGTTACCAATTCCAGATTGATCAATTGCAATGAACTGAATTCTTCATCTTAATCCAATCACCTACCTGGACGACTGGATCAATGAAGTTTGAATTCTCATTTTCTTTTAAGGGGAGATTTCATTATTTTACTAGATAGTTGGTATATATCGTGCTCTGATAGCTACACATTAAGGACATCTGGTTCAAAGTTGACTGATCTTTACAGTTCAAAACGGCTCAGTTTTAGGCATTTCACATTTTCACCTTGGCTGGCTTTCGAGAAGATGAATTTACAAATGTACAAAAAATGGTACGAGGAGGCGGCTGCCAAATGGGAGTTTGTTCATTTTATTTAAAGAGTTAGCTACTCAGGCCTAATAATTTGCCTACTGGTCTTCAATCCAAATGGGCCTTGGACTACAAAACTGATGCTATCTGTTAAACTATAATAGACTACTACTGAGTAAAGTTCAAACTACCTTACGGTTCTTTCACCATTCTTTTTTAACACACAACACTCTGATGAAGAAGTATTTCTTTCCAAGTGAAAGTGTTTTTTTTTTTTAAGAAATCCTTGTTCGGCGGTAGCTGCCAAATGGATTTGTATTTATTAATCTTATTAGGGTTAGTTATTTGCTATACTTGTTAGGGCAATGACAACAGTGGATTTCAAAGATTGACTCAATCAAAAACGTATCTTGGACTTTGAAACGTACCACTGGACCAAGTTTGAAATATGTTATGTTCTCATTTTCTTTTGGGGGAGATTTCTGTTTACTAGTTGCAAATTAGAATACCGGTGTTAATTGATGTTTTTTGGCTATGTTTGATGCAATCCATTTATCCTTGACTGGAAGTCTTTGGACAAAGATGAAAAGCGTAAAAGGAATTGAAAGTTAATTAACATGATATATAATGCATTGTATTCACTTCTCAAAGGAACCAGATCCCCGATTTCACCAATTTCTTACTATTACTTGTCAAATATTAACCACAGCTTTGCAAAGATGGAGTTTTGGAGTAGGAAATGAGTTTCAACTATTCAGATTCGGAATGATTTTTAAATAATCTTTGTAATCAACTAGACAACCTCTTGTTTGCAAGATGCCTCTTGTTGAATATATAGCAGCTGATTCCAGATATGCACCTCGTGTGTAAGTGGTATTACCAAATCCAGATCAAGCAATTGGAATTGGAAAGGGAGTGCTTCTTCAAATCAAGCAAATCAACTATTTCTTGTTGCTTCATCATCCACATCTCCTTTAGCTACCACTGTCATTATAATTGAGCAACAAAAATTATGAACACCAATGCAATCTTCCAAGCAATCGCTACCACAATCAACCTAGAAAAACCTGAATTTGTGACTGATTTGGAAATCTCATCTGAACCAAATCATATTATACGGCCTCCCGGATTGACTAATAAAATGGGGGAAAAAATTTAACAAGAATCTAAAACTTAAGGGATCCGAAAAATTTGTGAAAAGTGCCAGAGAATGTCGTACTACTTACTGATCAATTCATGTCTACACTGAGGAGTCAGAGAGCTCTCGAGTAGGAACCTAAGAAATCTCTGGGACACGGCTGTGTGGCTTCACACATTCCCGGCAGAAAACACGACAATGTTGTTGGGAAAAAATATAGATTGATTACTTGATTTTCATTTCAATTGGGCTTGGGGCTACAAACGTGATCCGGTCTAATAAAATGTATTTCCTTTGTCCTGAGTAGAAGAGTACTACCGTATCAAAGCAAAAATGTTTTACGGTTTCCATTTTCATTTGTTTTCATTCATCGCCTTTTGGAAAGAAAATCAACTTAAAATTCTGATGTTTTTCTGGGGAGTAATAGCCACATATGGTCCATTGCATTTTGGTTATGTTATATTTTCATCCGCCTCAATTGACATGTCTTTCCGATGATAATATTTGGGTCTTTTTTTTTTTGACTACTCGGATCCAAATTACCTATTTCAACACTAGTTGTGCTTGAATAGTCATCACTCCTTAGAGTTAATTTTTGTTCCTAGAGTTGTTTTCTTATGATGATATTTCTTTCATTCCGCCAAATCTCAATTGTCTCTCTAGGGATAATTGAAACCAATTTTATTTGTCCCAATTCCAACACTTAGAAGTTTGGGAGGAAAAAAAACTGTATGACTATTAGAACTAGAAGAGAAAGGAAACCGTATTGTACTCATGAGTCTTTGACTTGACAAAATTTGTTGATAGCAAAAATTTTGAAGTTTATTAAATCGAGTAAACTTATGGAAGGAGGGCGAGATGTGGAGTGATTTGGGGCAAATGTGCGGTTTAGATTTATGACAAATTTAATTCAGTCCCAAAGTTCAGATTTTCGACTTGCGGTCAAAGAAAGCACCAAATGTAACTACACCAATTGATGCACTAACTGTAAGAATACATATTTAGAAGATAAAGAAGCAACTACATTTCTGGTTGCCCTGCTCATTGAATTCTTGTTGCCTGTTGAATGAACAGTCCAGAGTTTTTTTTTTTGTATGCTCAACAAAACTTTCAACAACTTTTATTCCTCCAGCACTCTCTATTACTATGAATGTTCCCGTTTCTTCGGCATA